CCTTCATTTCTCAGCAACGAAGAATTCACCCAGCTGATGTTGGAGGTGAACATGCATATATACCTTTCCTACTTTTGTCGTGGATATGCCCGTGCATCTAGAATAAAATGTCACCCGCAGTTCCAGAAGGGGAGGTTTCGGGTACTGCTGTATTTGACTGTCAAGCAGAGCTGTCAGTGGGACAAGGGATTAGAGTCCCCGCATGTTGCTCTTCACTCTCGACGGTGCCGCTGCAGCCTGCTGCCGCAGCCTGCAAGGCTGTGCAGGGGCTCCCAAGAAATGCGATCCAGGGGAGAGATTCAAATCACAGGTTACATCTGATTTTTACACAGAGGTGAGGAAAAGGGCATGCGGCAGTTTTTCTCCTGTTCTTGGAAGGCGTTGTTATTACTTAATATTTTTGCAAGACTAGCACCTAAAAAGTAATAGTGTCACATCCCTCTAGTGCTAGGTGCTGTACAAGCAGATAAAACCTGACAGTTCCTCTTGGTTTGATACAGTTAATACTTCCACTCTAATGATTTTCAAGGCCCTTCTCAAACACTTTTTATTCTAACAGGAGCAGGGTTATTTTGCAATGATAGTTTTTAAATTACCTTTAAATTATACCATAGGTGCTTTTAATGCTAGCTGGGATTCGAAGGGAGGTGACTCAATGGCATTTATGTAGGTTCGAGATGAAATGCAAATGAGCTGCTAAAATGTATTTTTCTCTCTCAGTAACAGCTAGAACCTTCTTTAGCAATGATCTTCTTCTGTACTAAAGACGTGGAGGTCGCATGGCCCCACAGTGTCCTTTGGGAACAAGCTTTTCCTCCTCCTACAAATGATGTGAACATGAGGTGTGATCCAGGCTCTGGCCGTGGGCAGGGTGGGATGCTGGGGAGCAGCCTGGCCCACCAAGGGGTGGCACAAAGCCACGGGACATTGCTGGCCCCAGGGGCTCGTGGTCCCTTGGCCATTGCCGTTCATTGTCATGAGAGTCCCCTGCTTCAGCATGAAGAGACGCTTTGCTCACGTTGTGCCGACAACCCGCATTTGCCATCTCAGTGTGCAGGAACTTAACGTACATAACTCCTTCAGTCTGCACTGAAATATTTGCCTCAGATAGCAATAAACTGGCAGTTGTCTTGACTAGCTGGGCCTTTGTTGATTCTACTTGTACTCCACACAATTTTAGATTAAAACAATTGTTTTTAGTTTCCCAGCTTATAAATCACCTTCTTGCCACTGTGATTTTCCACGCCCTTCAAGGTAACATTGGGTATTGGGATGTCCTGTTGAGTCAGCTGTTCATCATTCGCTTCTTTTTTGCTTTTCTACTAATCTTATTTTATTAACATTTGGACAAGACTGCTTGAAGCTTTTCCTGTCCTGTTATTAAAAGATGGGAAGGTTTTTTTCAAGCACTGGCTGAAAAGAATCAGAGCATCATTGACTGCGGGAATACATCAGCTTTCCTGAAAATGGCCTTTTCTTACCTCATTGAAAAGGCTGTCATCAAATTACATAGGAGTGGGCATTAGGCTCCGTTTGTCTGTCTAGGACTGTTGCAGTAGTGAAATCTTTGAAGAGGGATGTGCCCTCTTAATGTTGGAAGGATCAGTTGCAAGTAAATAAAAACAGAATTCTGTATGCATACATTAACTTGATTTTACCACAAAATTCTGGTGTCAGTCACTTTGTATAATTTGCATTGGATATGAAATAAAGACTTGATTTAAAAAAAACCCAACAACCTTCACCATAGTAACGTGCACAATCCAGCTGCCTTGTAAAACCACTGCTCTCTTCTACGGGTTAACAGCTATCACGCTTTTTTAGAAAACAGCTTGAATGTACTACACGAAAGAAAAACATGTTCTCTGCGCTTAGATTAACAAAATCAAACTAACTATAGCAGCTGGAGGGTTTTCAGAGATGCTAAACACACGCTCTTCTACCGGGGTATAAGTTATTGACCTGCTTTTCAAAGGATTGTAGCACCAGCAGATTCCCATTGACTTAAATAGTTGTGGGTGCTCAGCATTCTCTGGAAAAAGGAACATATGTTTGTGTCATTATTCAAGGCTTTGTGTTTTCCCTTTTTTTTTTCTGAAAAACAATTAGCATTTTCCAGTGTTCTCAGAATTCTTTCCCTTATTGAACTCAGCGGGAGGGCAAAGATGTGCTGTGGCTCACAGGATCAGCTGCTAGTCTGGCTTGGAGGCAAGCCTGGCTTTGCAGTAAGGTTTTGTAACGCCGTGTCACCCTGATCAGGCTGTTTGCAGTACCCTGTCTCCTGGACAGGTATGGCCTCTGGAGTATAGTCGAACTCTCCTCTGATTCAGTCGTGCTTGCTGTGCCCATGCTGCTCAAATACTGCAGGCGACACTCACTCCAGATCACCAGGGAACTGACCGCAGGGACCCAGACCTGCTCCGCTTGGAGGCATTTGGAGCTTCACTAGTGACTCCGCTACTACAACGGGAAGGTTTCGACATAGTCTCTGAGCACCTACTGTTGACTTTTGATTTTGGAGAGGGAGTTCTGCTCAAAGTAGGTTGCTTCAGATCTGGAAATCTACCTAGATATAACTTTGAACAACATTTAGCTCAAAACTTTGCAGCTCAGACTAAAGAAGAAACTTATTTGGAAGGTGACATTGCTTCTGTGCAGAGGATGGGGGTAAGGCTGACATTCCCCTCCAGTCCTAGGAGTCAAGAGGCTTACCGCAAGGTGGGACCAAAGTGAGGAAGAAACTCTGCAGAAGGGTGAATTTCTCTTGGAATGAGTAATCTAATACCATGACCTTTAAAATAAATCACTCAATTATAACTTGGTCTAAGGATTATTTGATCATTTGCATTGCTTTTACTTACATGAAAGCCCAGTAATATACAACGTTACATTAATACAAACTGAGATTTATGGGGTTTGCAGAGAAGTACCATTCTGAGATAGGACTGCATCCTTTCATCGTCCTTTGATATTTACACAGAGCTCAAATGTTCATTTTAATAATTTCCACAGGATCCAGTCTTAGTCATTTTGCATTATTAAACTGTGTGATTAATTTAAAAACTGAGACATGAAATGTTCCTGTGAGCCCTTTGTTGCTTCAATAGTAGGTTCTACTAGACTACAAAGAGTGTTGTAAAAGTTAAATCAGACTGTAAAATCAGAGAATTACTGTTCTGCAACTTGAGATAACGTTCCTACAACTCAATAACAATACGGTGCTGAATTCAAACTGTTTTGATCAACATGCGATGAGACGCCTTGTTTACACCCCGTTACTATTAAAGCACTCTCCATTTGTCTGTTTTCCTTAGGCGTTAGATGGCTTCATTATAGCAGTAACCACAGGTGGAAGCATCATCTACGTGTCTGACAGCATCACACCTCTTCTAGGGCATTTACCGGTGAGTAATTCTGCCGTTGGCTTCTCTACTACACTTTGCAGGATCGGGCCCTGCATTTTTAGAAACGGGCGTAAAAAAGTGCTAGTAGGGGTTGTTTTCCTGAAAATGCAGTTGAGGGGATTTGCCCCTGCGTTATGCTGGCCGCTGCTGATCATCAGCTCTGTTCTCCCTCTGTCTGGTTCATACCCTTCAGCTTTTTGTTGCTATGAGGCACTTTGGCGTGAGTGGAAAAAGCGCTGCAGGAATACTCTAGCCAGGGGAGGGACAGGGTGTCCTGCCTGATCTTTTCCATCTCTGACTTCTAACCTAGCAGAATAGCAGCCCGGAGAGGAGCTTGTTCAGGGCCTTATTCTGCTCCCAGGGAGGCAAAGGACAAAACCCCCGCTGAATTCAGAGGAGTGGGAGTTAGCTGGCGGCTGCACCCTGCTGCTGGGAGGTGCTGATGGAGCTGATGCTTGGCTCCATGTGCTCAGGTCCGGCACACAGGGCTTGTTTCATCTGCGGGCTGCTGGGTCTCGCTGTGGGAGATGCCCCTGCGTGCGCTGGCTTGGGCTGGGGGAGTGGGGGAGAGGGACCGCTCCGAACCCCGCTCCCGTTGCTAAGGCTGCTCTCAGAGAAATGGCACAATAATTAAGGATTAATCCTCACACTCATTTTTAGTGGCTTGGTCTCAAATAAATGCATGCCCAGGAGAAAAAAAATAGCTGCCAAATCATTATTGTACCCCCACCATGTTCTTAGGAAAATTAGAATTCTTTTTGTCTCGTTTACTTTTTCACCCAATATGTGTTATGTTTTCCACCCAGACAAATGTATTTCACACACTACCTTGCTGTAATACGAACAAAAATTATTTTCTTCTGAGATAAAAGGAACTTGATGAAAGGCGGCAGCTTCTGGTAAATGCAAGAACATTGCTATGCAACAACAGATTGAACTGAATCTATCTATTTCAGTTTTCTTTAATCCTCAACAGTTGAGAAAACCAGTAGTTGACTATTTTCTGTTGTTTGCCTTTGCTTCAAAGGCAGAGAGCGCCCTGTCCTACACGCAGTCTGTTGGGTCTTCATACACTTACTGATTTCCATTGCATTTTTTTGTCTTTCATGGTCTGGGGGTTTTACCGCTATCCCTTCCAAATATTGATTCTTAGTGGAGGCAGTAGATCTGCTGCGGGAAAGTACTGCTCTTCAGGAAGACAGGTTACCGACCCTGCACCTAAAACCTTAAGCCCTGGCTGAGGATGGATGGATTCAGGTTCATCATTCCTGAGTTGGGCCATCAGAGACTAAATTGTTTTTCCATCCTAAAGTCATCCCTTGTGTGGTAATCCAGGCCCAAAACACAGACAAAGATGATCATTATTTTTTATTCACACAGAAGCAGCACACAGCAGCCCAAGGCACGGATCACCCTACTGGGGCTGGAGGTGGGGCAGGAGTTCCCACAGACCTTCTCGGAGCTGATAGAGTGATAATGGTTAACGACTGCCCCACCAGCCCACGCGTGTGGAGTCACTGGGTGCATCCCAGAGGCTGCACCTGAGCAAGCAAGGGAGGCTTCTGCCTGCCTCAGGTCAGCAGATCGCTACGGCCATAGGCAGGGGCCCAGCTCGGCATGCGGTTAGAGGCGCACGCTGGGAATTTTAGTCCCACGCTGCCCTTTCCATATGTCTTTTTAAGTTTTAAAACTGCTCGGAGTGCTATCTGGAAAATCTATGTGGCTTATTTTGTTTACCTCCAGGATCTATTTGTAAGCAAAATTCAGTCACTGTTTGAGGGACAAAATACCAATTCTTTCTTCTCTGTGACTGCAGGGAAAAAGAAATACTCTGCAAATCTTCTGCTTTGAGCAGTGAAAGGAAAGCTAAACTGGGCAGAATGCGGAGCAGGGCTCTCTGAGGGCCCCTATCAAGAAATCTGATGTATTTTCTTTCATTAAAATCATGAAAGACTCTGGTGCAGAGAACAAATATATCCAATTCTCTTTAATACAGCTTCCCTCAGTTCCACAGAGCATTTTCAAATGCAAACTTTCTCTGTTGTAATTCTAAATAGCTTGTTATTACAAGATCTGGAGGTTACTGCTAGGGCCGGTTGATGTAAAGAGAGGTTTAGCTCACATGGTAAGATGGACTATAGCTGAAGTGAGCTCCTGGAAATCTGGTCACAACTCATAGCATCTGCCAGTCAGATGGCACGCGATGACCCCAAGACTATGCAGGTCTCTGGAGAAGGGTCCTCCATGTCCCTTCTTGACTGCTTTGCTGAGTGAACAGTTAAACGCAGGCAGCAGAGTGACTATTTCCAACCTAGGAGAGGAGATGCACCTTTCTCATGGACGTTGCCTGTCCACAGCCTCAGGCAGAAGGTGCTGTACCTGCTCACGGACCAAAGAGTGGTGTCCATCTCACCCAACTTTAGTCCCACAGCCAAGAGGTCTGTGCTCGACGCCTGCGCACATGATGGTCCCCGAGGGTGGGTGGGGAGGTGGCTACACAAAGGCAGGAGGTCCCTGGCAGGGCTGAGCTTCTCCTGAGTGGGCACTTTCTCCCTGTATGGTCCTGGGTGAAGCTCAGGCAGCTGCTCTGCTGTGTTGGGCCCTTAAGTTAAACATCAGGGTGATAAAGTCCAGGACAGAGCACCTTACAGTGTACAAAAGCTTTGCATGCTGTGTTGCTGTTACAGGGTAGCAATGGGCATCCTTGCAGGATATGCAGATTGATACGGGGGCCAAATCCCAGCACACAAGAGCAGACCTATCTTGATTTTTTGGGTTGATGGGAAAGAAGCCTATCTCCTTTGCAGCCTTCCACCTTCCCTTTCCTGTAAGTGACCATGCCATTCAGTTCCCCTGCTTTTTTTCCCCTGCAGCAGGATTTTTTTTTTATTTCCTCCCCACCCCACAAAAAAGCAATGAAAAGGTGAGGAAGGAGCTCCATTTTGGAGGATAAATGTTTTGTTGAAACTGCACAGATATTTAAGCTGTCCCTCAAATGACTGCAGAACTTGGGGTGAATTTACTTTGTTTTCAGAATGGACCGGCATCCATGTATGCGAAGCTGTTCTTTCTTTGCCTGCCATAACTATCAGGGGTAAATAATCAGAAGTTTTCTGTTAGTGGGATCCACAGATTCCAAGGTACAGAGTAGATTCCAAGCTCAGCAGTATAAATGTGCATTAACATAGTTCATCCAACCACTCTGCCCGCAGTCACTGTAATTTATCTTTTATCCACTTTGCCTGTTTCATTCAGCAATGCTTTGTGGCTCTGTCTGCCAGCAGGGCAGAACTGCCCACTGCAGAATAATTAGAATAATTAAAGAAAGTTGCAAACCATTCCCCTCCAACCGATACATTTTTGTCCGTGGTGATCAAATTTTGTCTTATCTTTCTGGTCACCTTTTTCCCATGGTACCAGATGTCTGCTGTTCGGGTCTGGTGCAGAATTAGCTCTGAATAGCTTCCCTGGCATTTCTTGCAGCTCCAGCGAGACCGTGGAATATTTGCTTCCTTCTCTCTATTTGCCCTGTTGATATATTCTTGATTGACATATTGATTCAAGAACATCGTTGGAGTCTTGATATGTACAAGATCCAAAAATTCTGTTCTGGGCGCTGCTTTACAGGTGTGCCTAACCTCTGCACGAGGCAAGAGTTAAGAAACACAGCAGGAAGTAGATACCTTATCATTTCTTTCATGCTCATTTAAAAAAATATCAGCATTCCCTAACAGCAAAGATGCACACCAAACACTGAATTCTGGATATGGTATGTAATGGCGGCAAAGCATATAAATGCCAGGACTAGCAAATCAATGACTAGCTGGTGCTCAGGGCAGGAGGTTGCTCTGAGGGGTGTGTGGGACAAAGGTCTTGCAACTCCTACCATACACGTAGTCACAGGCGTCTGCAGCTGTCCCCTTAAGCAGGAACAACACTGCAAAACTGGTAATACATTTTGAATCAGAGCTTGGTCACAATGCGGAGACAAAAGATGGCACGGCCCCAGGTCACTGAAGAAGCGATAACGTGTTGGAGGAGCGGTGACAGCTCACATCTCGTCGTACTGCAGCTACTGCTGAGTGGATGGGAGATTAATTAGCCCCCATGAGACTTAAGTGAAACTGGTGAATAAGTATCATTATCTAATCTTTACAGGTAGAAAAGGAAAGAGAAGGAAAAATTGGTTTTCTGAGATCGTGCCATAAGCCTTGAACAGAAACGGCATCGCTGCGGTTTCCTGTCAGGTGCTCTTTCTTCATATGCCCCACATTATACGAACAATGTACCATATTTCATGTAAATCTAAGGTTTATGTACATGTATATATCAAAACTGAATTACATGCAGGATCAGTAGGATGCATATTAATAAAGTATATCCTAAAGTCACAAAAATATTTTTGAAGTATTTGTCACAAAAGGAATATTCAAGTAATGAGCGCACGTAATACTTATAATTGAATAATCTAAAGTAATACATTATTGCGTCAAGATAAGTGCATGAAAAATGAATTTTCAAAGCATACTCAATGTATTTCACTACTCTAAACAGGAATTCCACACAGAACAGCAGGCTTGGATGGAAAGCAGAGGGAAACCAAAGCGTAATCTTAAGTAAATACATAAATAAATGATGATGATTAATAACTTGCCAGTCTCATACAGGGCTAACACATTTTCAACACGACTATGCAGTCTGAAAGCAGCTGCTCTGATGACACACGAAGCTGTGTCAGTGTGCCAGCGCAGCCCGAGGTAGTCTCAAGTGGGATGGATGTAAGTCAATGCCATTAGAAGGTCACTTCATCTCAGGGCTTCCTCTCAGATACGCTTTTCTAGCGTTAGGTTGGTCACCACGCTGAACACAGTGAGACCTTCCTCTTGCCAGCCCTGTGACAGAGTCTTTGTCTTCTTCACCCTGGGCCAGTCATGGCCTTTTGCACAAATGCATCTCCTCTTTCCATTCCCAAATCTCAGTACCTAGATTTCGGATGGAGATCAGGTTCGTGCCAGCTGACCGTGGGGCTGGAGACACCCGGGCATTCAGCCCGTGGCTGGGCAGAGGGCTTGTGCCAGTGGCACCGTGATGTCCTCCTCCCTGGGGACTAACCCCTGCCACTGCAAAGAGATGTCCAGACTGGGGAGTCCCCTTCTCCCTGCTCCCACCTGCCAGGATGCAGGAAGGGGGAGCAATGGCTGCCGCCCCGAGGACACCTCCCAGGAGCTGAGGGGGTCCCCCCAGGGAGGGGCTGACCGGGCAATCGGGGCTGGTGGCCCAGGGTGACTCACAGCCCCACTGCTGCTGCCAGCTGGGGTTTGCCAGGGAGAGAGCAAGCTGCAGTGACCCACCACAGCCCCGTGCATGGGGCTGGCGAGCTGCGTGGGGAGCCAGGCGCCCGTCTGCCAGCTCACTCCCAGGTCCCATCCTTTCACTGTGTGGACACATCCGATGCATCTGACGGTCTCTGAGAAACATCACAGGAACATTGCTGTGTGCTGAGAATCAAGCTGAGAACGGGCCCATGGAGAAGCGGCCACTCGGTTTGCCCCAGTTCCCCCCAGTTTAGGCTTCGTCGGGGGTCTCTGGAAATCAGTGGGAAACTCCTGTCAACTTCCACAGGCTTCGTATCCACATTGCTGTGCACCTCTGCGAGCCTTGCTCGTCGTGATATTTGAGTTTTTCTCAAAGGTTCTTCTTCTTTGCAGTGTGATGTCTTGGATCAGAATTTGTTAAATTTCCTCCCAGAACAAGAACATTCAGAAATTTATAAGATGTTATCTTCGTGTATGCTTATGACAGATTCTGCCTCATCGGATTACCTAAAGAGTAAGTTTTATTTTATCTTCCCCAGTATATCAAAAAGCACAGGCAGGATAAAAATTTTCTCTCAGAAAGTTTTTTATGTGATGTGCTATAAAACTTAGGTTCATAGCCTTTTAAAAAGATCTCACTACCTGGAATGACCCTTTGGTACTATTTCGAAATGAAACTCATTGCCTTTATTTTACTAGGTTAAGACTACTTGCAGTTATGTTAATTATTAAATATGGTATCTTTTGAGACAGCTAAGGAAAATAGGTTAGCTGATGGAAATTCGGAGTTCGCCTGAGACAAATCACATCTTAATTGATATTTCAGCCTGTTCAAGGAAGGTGCTGTTCAGAGATGTGCTAATGTCACATGCCTTTGGTTTGCATTGTAGTTGAAAAGTAAAATCATTGTAACTTTCAAATTGAATTTTGTTTTTCTTAAAAACTCTTTTACTTGCCTCATCCTTATTCACTCTAGGAGGTGAGACATAGGAAACCAGAAAACGCATGATAATGTAAGACGTACAGCTGCTAAATCTACTGTATATACAAAACCTGCAGCTGATAGCTAATATGCCAAAGTTAATTTAATAGATATTGTGAGGTAATTAGGCATAGTTTTCCAACACAAGATGTAGAACAGCTGTGAGTCGTGAAAAGCCTAAATAGCAAAAAAAGCAATAAACGAAGGATCCAATTCTCTCCTTTGCTCCACTGACGCTGCGGCAGGGTAACTCCTGTGGTGAGGGTGGTGTCAGAGAAGGGCGAGTCAGTCTCGAAGGCTGTCCCTGAGCCGTGGGCAGACCTGGGCACAGCGCTGAGCAACCCACGTCCCTGCAAGGCGCTTCCATGCAGAGGCTCTGATCCTGCGATGTATAGCATGTCGGTGTGTAGGACTCTGAGCAGTAACAAGCTGCTCTGGTGCTGCCAGTGGCAAGATTGGGGTTGGAAGACACCGTTGGTTGTGTTTAGCTTAAATAGTATATTTATTTCTTCTTCTTCTTCTTTTAACAATCCAGCTGACAATGAACTAGAGTTTTATTGTCATCTTCTGAGAGGAAGTTTGAACCCAAAGGAATTTCCAACATATGAATACATAAAATTTGTAGGAAATTTTCGGTCTTACAGCAATGGTAAGCTTTAACTGTTGTATAAATGTTACTTTAGCTGTGTAAAATAAAATATAAGTATTGTTCCATTGAAGAAGACAGGCTTTTAACTGAAAGGACTATTTCTAACATTATGGGGTAAATTTTGCTTCACACGGATCTTGCAGCTGATTTGCAATAGCTGGGTGAATACCTATGAAGAGTGAAATTGTGTTAGTTGCTTTTGTTACTGCCCTTCACTTGTTAGCAGCGATCCTGGACTCTGGGTAAGTCTGCAAATGACAACAGGTTCAGAGGAGGGTTTGTTTGTGCTCATTAACACTGTGTGCTAAGACTCCACCTATCAGCTAGATAATGAGCTTGCTGCCTTATCTGCTGTCTTACGTTAAACACAAATTCTGCGCCAAAGCTGATAACCTGCCAAATCTTCCCTCTCACCCTTCTCTGCAACATTTTGGGGAAAGCAGGCAGCACCGCGTATGTCAGTGCCTGCCCCCCCCCGCCCCTCGCTCGG